GTGCGACGAAAGTCGCACCGAGATGTCGTCAGACGTAGACGCGTCGTTCCGCTTGTTGTGTTTCCGCTGCGCATTCGCCACGCACTTCCCGGATGACGGTGATAATAATGCGGTAAAAAATCACGTCGCAATGTGACGCGCATGTCGCACGCACGCGAAACAGAACGATGTCACACGGGGATCTTATATTATTAATTATATCGGTGAACGCTGCGCAAACCTCTCGCCGTAATATTCCGCCGGCACACGATTCTGCCAAATTCTACCATTATTATATTATGCAAATTGCGCCAAGCGCCGCACGCGATGGCCGATTCGCTCGATTCTCCGTGGATCGTGGAAAATCAGCCTTTCGTTATTCGCAGCAGCAAACGGCGCGTCGCTCCGCGTACATCAATGTTAATTATTGTGATAATGTCAATCGTGCGACGACGGACACCGCTTCGAGCAATTCGCCCGCGACAGTCTCTCTCTCTCTCTCTGCTCTCACGTCGGGACGATACAACTGAAATTTGTGATTCCGCACATGAGCGTGATATGAATCTCGGAGACCTCACGAGAAAATGGTGGACTGACACGGCCAGTCGGCATTTCTGAAATGGATTAAGGAAATATACAGGATGTCCCGCCGTCGTCGGAAGATACTTCGGCTACGTGGATTCTCGGCGGAACGCGAGGTTGACTCGTGAACAGTCGTGGTGTGAGAGAAGGAAGTTTCTCGAATTTATTTCTCGCCGAGACGAAGTTGAGCTGAAATTAGCCGGAGGGTGGTCCCCGCCTCCTCTCCGTCCGTTTGACGCGTCATGGAATCTTTGTGGGCTGATATTTCGTATCGATCGAGGGAAGCGGCGCTCAAGTAATTTTCAGCCGCGACGAGACACCCCGTAGAAACGCTGCGCGCACTTTCATCTCGGCGAGCGTTGTATGCCGCGAGAGCGAACGAGTCCTCTAATCTTCTGATTTAATTAGTCTGACTTAGGTTAGGTATATGTATACATGCGTACAAATATGCATAGGTATACGCGCCGTACAAATCTCGGCGGCCGTACGAACGGATGTTGTATTTGCGCAAAAGCGTGCGTAAGCGTCCGTTTCTCATCTTCGACGCGTGCGAGTTGTGCAAGCTGATAATCGAAGGACCGAGTGGACAAAGAGGACACGTTACATTTCTGCGGGAGTCGAGTCGTTGAATCGATTATCACGTCGAATGTCTCGGCTTGACGTCCATTCCAATTAGCTCGACGGAAATTAGTCTCTCGCACGTTTACGAAGAATTCGGATTGCGCGTTATCTGGGAATTTCTGGTCAACTAGCTTTTACGTGCGATCTAACTTTCGTATTTTGGTTGTGCATGTATGTGTGTGTATGGAAATCTTATTTCACGAAAATTTGGTAACTTGCAGAGAAATCAAATTGTCAAAGTTACTTTCAAGACTTATTCGTAAACATGTTGAATCCATCAAATCTTTGTATCGATTCAGAAAGAAAGGCTTGAAATTCTCAATTTAAAATAATTTCCTCTTTAAAAAAAAGATAGATAGAGAGAGAGAGAGAGAGAGAGAGAGAGAGAAAATTTTTATATTGTAATACAAGATACATCGTAATTACTAATTAAGTTTAATTTAATTTTGATGCAAACGATCAACCATGTGTCAGTATTTAAAATAGTGTTACACAGCAACTTCATTCACCGGGTCCTTCGATTGCAAACGAACGATCAGGTTTTAAAACACGTCCATCCAATTGTGTCCATCCGAACGACACGGTGTGATTGAAAAACAAACAAATAAATAAATGAAAAACGGAAAAGCAGAAACCGATTGTAAAGCGATGGCACTCAATCCTAAACGATGTGTCAATCGAAGCGTGAGCCGGCTGTAAGCCTAATTAGCGGCCGTAAGCTACCTTCAGGACAAAATCGCGCGCGTCACCTGATAACTCCCCTCCGGTGCAGTATTATGCCTTGCCTGTGCAGCATCACACGTGTAAAATTTGCTTGGACACGATATTGCGTTACCGCCGTGCGATTAGTCCGTTCACTTGGCGCGGCTCGCGCTCGCCGGAGGAATTTTCCGATCGAACGATTTTGGAAACTCGATCGCTCGATTGTAACAGTAACCGTGATTGCGCGGAGCGTCGACGCAACCGTTTCAGCCGATTATCGACACTCGACGGGTCTGTGGACGGCGCTCTGGTTGAAAAAGAAATGAAAAAAAAGGAAGGAAACAGCAAAGGAAAGAGAAACGAGGGCGGAAAATCGCGCGTTTGCGCGAGGCGAGGACTCAATGGCCAGATACACGAGCGGATTTTCGTCACTTTGTAGATCGATATTCCGTTTTATCTTCCGGTTATCGTCGTCAAACGACGCGGAGATTTTAGCGGCAGGGGAAAATAAAGGAGGAGAAACCACCGACGAGGCGCGCATTTCTTTCTCTCCCACACGCTCACTTTGCCCTAATGTCCTTATTAAAGTTATTACGTCGCTTCGGAAAAAGTTGGCAGTACGGTAGTGAATTGAAAGACTCGTTTGTCATCCTCCTCTCTTCGGTTCGCTTGCCGCGTTGCCGCCGTAATCGTTTCCGCGACTCCCATCGCTCTTGCCGCCGCCGTCGCTGCTGTTATTTCGGTACGCGGGTTTACAGTTTACCATTGTCGCAGACGTGCTGTTCGCTGCTCATTTGCGCAATCCTTTTTATATTTGCTCCTCCTCTCCCCCTTTCTCCTCTTGCTGTCGTCGCGCGTCGACGAAGTAACGTCGCGAATTCGCGAGATTTCACTCGACTTCAACTCGAAATAAAATCACGTCCCAGTTCGCTGCTCAAACTCTGTTTCTCGTGTGCTCCCCGAAATAAGAACGAATTTTATTTCCCATTTCATCAGGCTCGACAGCAATCTCCAATTAAATTTACGGTATAAGTTAAATTTACGGATCGCATCTATCAAAATAAGAAAGTTGACGCGTCCTTGAAAATTACAAGAAGAATAAAGTCTCATCCAAAAGATCTGTGAGAGGAAACGCGTGATACGTATTTTTGAAAATTTTAATAATCGCGGAGCTAAGTAGGGAGTGGGGGGGCGAGAAAAATTATTCCGAGTAGACGTGCGAGAGAATTCTTGAAATTCGCGATTCTCTCTCGGCGCGCAAATTCCGCACGCGTGCATACACACACACACACACACGCACATACTCGGGCGAAATACACACGCACTACGAGTCACAACACCGATTAAAAGTCTCTATTCGATTTTCTTTTATTTTATTCTTAGTTGCACGCTTAACTTACTTACGATTTCTTTATCGATTATTACAGGCTAGAGCTCACAGAACGATCGACCGCGTCGCGTCGTCAATTTCTATCTTCCTCTTTCGCTCCCTCCCTCTCTCTCTCTCTCTCTCTCTCGCTCTCTCTGATGTCATACCTGAAACTACGTCAGCTTGATAACTGAATTAATCCGAGCAACTCGACGATGCTCTGCCCGACCTCGATTTACGCGGAAGATACGTCCCGGAAACATCGAACGGATGTTTGTTGCTATCAAAATTACGACGGTATATAACGGCGTATCCCGTGAGAATCTCGAAAAGTAAGATTACGTACGTGATTAGTCTAGAAACAATTCGTAAGTACGTAACACACCAGTGAAGAATCGCAATTGCGTTTAGGGCGCGACTCCGTGCGACTGCCCGATTTCCACCCGCGCTTCCCATCGAACAAATACAGAGCAGCAACGCGATTAATACAATTCATCGAATATAAACGTGAAAAACGTCTGGGAAAAAGTACCTTTCTTTTACACGCATATGTGTACTAGAATTTGTTTCATTGAATTCCGGAGGCGCGTATGCGTGTTGTGTATATATGTGTCTGTATCGCGATTGACGCTTATCGAAGGACGGCTGTTCAGCGTTTCGAAGCTCGAGAAAGTAAATTCCGTTTTTATTCGCAAGTGTTTGGCACACGCGCGCAGGAAAAGCACATGTCGTCCCCCGAATAAATTATCGATAAAAGTACAGACGAGAGGAGGATGGAGAGGGTCGCGCGAGCACGCGCGCGATCGCTCTTGACAGATGAAATTAATTATTGAAGTCTAATCCTAAAAATCCATGCGGCGATCCTCGCTATATATACATGTACACGTCTTCGTATCCTTTCCCTCCCCCCCCGTCTGTGTAGCTTGCGTCTCCGTTCCTTAATTAAACCGTCGTGTTTTCAACACCGGCTTAAATATAACCGAAGCCCCTGAAACTACCGGAGAGACCGGACGCGTTATATCCATCAATTTCCCCCCCTTTTTTATTTGTATATATATACAGGGTGTCTCATAATTAATGTTCCAGAGCACGTGGAAACATAAAGCGGATTAAGACAAATATAAAAGTTCCATTTTGCGAGATTCATAATAATTATCGAGTTATTAATGACAGAAATTTGAGGAGTGAGAGCGCGCCGACAGATAGATGATTGGAGAAGCGTGCAGCCATTTCGATAAAAGTGTGGCCGAGTCGATCCAGAAACTATTGCCGGTGCGCGGCGAGGGGAATGACAACGCGCCGCTATTTATTTATCCGTTTAGCCGTTGTTTTATCTCACCGCACCTACGTTTCGCCGCATGCCGCCAACCGAGAGGCTGCGACGCGACGCCTCTCCAATCATCCATCTCAACGCGCGCTCATTCGTCAGATTTCTGTAATTAATAACTCGATAATTATTGCGGATCTCGCAAAACGGTATGGGACTTTTATGTTTGTCTTAACCCAATCTACCTTCACACTTCGGCTTGGCAGCTAATTACCGGACACCCTGTATACATATACATTAATTCTTTTCTTTTCCTTTTGTTTCTTTTCTTTCAACTTCCCGTACGGCTTCTCACGCACTCAGGCACGCATTCTAGTTCAGAACGATTTAGAATTTATTTTATTGCGCGACGCGAGGGTGCTGCAGACAGATGTGTGTGTGTGTGTGTATAGTGTGTGTGTGTGTGTGTGTGTGTGTGTGTGTGTGTGTGTGTGTGTAAATACATATGTATTGCTGCGAGTACACTCTTCACGTGCATGTATCGTGTACGCGTATTTAATTCGCGTGTCGTGTGTACATATTCTCTCTCGTAATGTGTATATATATATAATATATTTCTCGCTCTTCTCTTGTGTTTGCATTTGTAATATAATATAATTTTTCTATACATATTTATATACTCTCTTCGCGCGCGCGCGCTTTAATCTTCTGCTCAACGCCGCGAGTCACGCCGTTAATTACAAAGGTTTTTCTTCTTTGTTTTTCTTTTTTTATTACAGACACAGCAGGCTGTATGCATTTTCCCACCTTCCCTAACCCTACCCCTACCCTTTCCCCAACTTCGCGAATATTTACATTGTACGTTGTGTCATCGTTAGACAAGTTCCGTCGCGAGTCCGACAGCCGACCTCTCTTTTCATTCCCTTTCTTACCTTCTCGCTCCGGCGCATCCGATCGCACCGGTCGATCGTCCGCGGTACGTAACAGCATCGTGTAATCTCGGGCAACCCGATCGTAATTAGTCTATTTAACATGATACCTTTCAATGCCTCGAACAAGCAAGTTTGCTTCACCAATGATTGGATTCGACGAACAATCGACGACGCGCTTCTCCCCAAAGTGCCTTGAGAAACTTCTTGGAAATCGTTCGCGGAGGAAGAAAGAGAGTATCTGATGCAGCGAAGATCAATCGACAGACGTCGCGAGCGCATCTAGTGTACTTTTTTATTCACTTGTGTATTAATGTTGGGTCAAGAGAGAGAGAGAGAGAGAGAGAGAGAACAGAAAACTATACGAAAATTTCCGGTGGAAATATATCCATTAAATTATATACAGTTGATTCTCGAAGCCTTTCGCAAAGTTGTTAATAACATTTCAGATCTCTCTCAGGTCTCTCTCCTTCTCCCTCTCTCTCTCTCTCTCTCTCTCTCTCTCTCTCTCTCTCTCTCTCTCTCTCTCGTTCTCTTTCTTTCCGGTGTATCAGTGATCTCCCGATATACACAAAGTATTACAGGATGCTCTTTGCAGTCGCGATCGCCTCGGAGGAGATGCGGAATGTAATGAACAAAAGAGAGACACTTCATGCTGCCAACGAAATTGTCGTGGAGCTCAAAGAGAATCCCCGCCGCGAAGAGCCAAAGACGGCGCGCGGACGATCGATCGCTACGAGCGAGCAACGATAACGATAACGTCGTAATAAACGATCGAACGATATTTCGATTTAATTAATTACCGCCTAAGAGTCCTCGCGACCGGCTGCGTGACGTCGGCCGCGAGGCTTTGAAAGAACGAGGGCATCATCTTAAGTTAGAGTACAAAGGTACGTAGGTCCCTACCTCCATTTCTTTTTTTTATTTTTCTGCTGAGTTTTCTCTTTTTACACAATCGCTCGCGTGATTCGCGTCGCGCCAAGCCGCCTCGCGCGAATAATGCTCGCGCTCGATATCGATCCCCGAGCGATGAAGCACCGCGAACAACGTCCCGAGAACGTCAAGCAACGAACTGTCGTCTGGTGTTACTTCGATCCGTCTATTGTCGAATTGTTTCTAAATATTTCAGATGAGGTATATACATGCTGTCGTGTGTACGTGTGTGACAGCGTCGATACCTCAAACAATGGACTTACTCGAGAGTTTTAGATATGTGTCTCGACCACACGCGGAGAAGCAAAGAATCGACAGATGCGAGAACGAAACAGCTGCGGATCAATAAGAGTCCCGTGAGATAAAATCGAGAGATGTTACATCGCATAACGCATTTGTCGAAATTATCGCGTCCTCGAGCGGCGTAATCGGACAATGTGAGATCGCTAATAAAGGAGAGAATGGATCACGCAAACTTGCGAATCGCGGTGAGATACGAAGAGCCCCGTGCGACTTGCCGTCGCTCCGAGTCTTGTCCTCCTCTTATCAGCCTTCTTATCGCGCTAATTGTTGGAACGCAGTCCTCTCCTCGAATCTAAGTGCGCGATTCTCGCGCACAACTTTATCATTAATGCCTCCGGCGCGCTTTGTGTTTGCATTTGATATGTTCCGTCTCTCTTTCTCCGGACTTCGTACTGCCTTGTCGGTACTACTTCTCGTTACGACGACGATCCTACATACATCGATGTGTCAAATAAGCAACAACTATCGAAAATGCTCTCACGCAAGTGGACGCTCAGACGTATCGGATGCGTCAATTCTCCGTGGAAAAGAAAAAATCGGACAGTCCGTCACATGTGACAGAGGTACATTTCACAAAAAGATCTTCTATCCCCCACTTGCCCCCATTACATTAGCGAGGTCTAAAAATAGTGATGCTAATAAACGTCGCCCACAAGTGGTAAACAGCGAGATACAGATGCATAACGTGCGCAATAAACATTCGATCACGCATACGTAATTTCAGTCGAGAGAGCGCTCGGGTTCCACTGGAAAGCAGTTCACAACAAAGCATGCTGAAAATTATCAGATCGACATGATCGCTTAACGATTAGCACATTTATATATGTACATATACAGTTTCATGTAGCTGCGTACAATATATATATATATATATATTGTACGCAGCTACATATATATATATATATTATACATAATACGTATTAAAAACCATAGATTTCTTTTGCTCTCTTCTTTTTTTCTTTTCGTCGTATAATTCGTCGAGACTGGATAGGCACTCGAGAATTTCGCTTTCCAGGAGCGTTCGATCAAGAACACCCTATAGTAGCACCCCGGTCGCGGGCAAGTTTTTCTCATTCCCCGACGGAGAGACTTTCTCGATGACGTAACTCTTACGAAACAAAGAGAAGGAGAAATGGACTCTCTCTCTCTCTCCCGGAGCCGCGTTTCGCCGCGCTGACCGCGCGCGAAACGCGGCTGAAAAGCGATCTGAAAAGCGGCGAGCTTAAGCACGTCGTGCGGTATGAAAATAGCATTCGGCGCACGAGCGGCGCGCGCCGGCGATTTATAACGGTGATTATTCATCCGGATCCGCAAGCGATATCCACGTCCCGCGTACGCGCGAGGAAGACGCGCGAAGAAGCGCGAAGCGCTCTCTCGCGTAACGCCGGACGCGCTCGCGTCCGTTCAAGCGCGACGGACAAACTGCTGATCCCGCGTACGCGCGTGATCCCGCAGTGGAATCCTGCAGGACAATGCGTCCGAACAATCGCGACGAAACGGAACGGAACGTCTCCGCTCTCCGCTCCGCGGAGGAGAGCAGGACCCCGCGCCGAAGGAGAACATTATTCAAGGGACGGCCTGACGCGAGTAGTAACGCCGCGCGAAAAAACCCTCGAGGACTCGGCCCCGTGCGCAGGACAAATCCCGTATAATCCCGCGATCCTAATTGCAATCACTCAGCCACACCTGGGTCGACCATCTCCCGCAAACTCGCCTCGTCGCCGGCGCGATTTCACCGATTAACTCGATTAATCGGTGCTGGCCGGCGCGGCGCGGCGCGCCGATTAATCGAAGCCACTGACGACGACTTTTCGCAGGAAAGATTCGACTCTCTCTCTCTCTCTCTCTCTCTCTCTCTCTCTCTCTCTCTCTCTCTCTCTCTCTCTCTCTCTCTCACACGCACACACACACACACGCGCGCACACGCACGCATGCATACACACTCACTCACTCACTCACTCCCATTCTCTTTTTCCCTCTCTTTGCCTCTCTCTGTCTCTCTCTCTCTCTCTCTTTCTCTCTCTCTCTCTCTCTCTCTGCTTTTCTCTCCCCTCTCTTTCCTCTTCCAACAAAGATCGATCCAGCGTGCGACCGAGCGTGCAGAGTACCGCAACAACAACGGGGGATGTGCGAACACACACGACGGACTTTCTGTCGAAGGGAAATCCGCGAATCGGCGCAAATCCTGACGGAATTGCGATCACAGAGGATGAAGCACTCGTCGATCCTCGCGCTTCTCGAGGATAACGATCGATCCCGTTGTATCGCCGCAGGCGAGCGTAGGTCCCGCGAGGGACATCTCCCTCGTCGATCCCGCCGTAGAGATCCCTGTCGAGTAACGAACGATCGCTATTCCGTCCTCTTGGCCGGCGAATCGATCCGAGCTCGAGAGATCGGCGGATATATGACGCCGTTGAACCTGACGACGATCCCCCATCTCGCGTGGCATCGATGCGAACGGCTTGCTTTTCTTACTGAAATTAAAAACCCGAAAAGGATGTTCATAGCCGCGCGATCGCGCGTGTGCGTGGCGATCGCAGTGTCGGAGCTCGAGACGTGGGGAAGCATATCGTCGTGTTTAACGTTTCGCACGATGACGATCGTTATTACGTTACGAGCGATTGGCTCGCCTCGAGAGAGCCGCGCGCGGCGAGCTGCTACGATGATTGAGAGACCGAGAGACGAGTGTATCGGTCTCAGTCTCATCCTGTTCGCGCGTTAATTTGCTCACAGACACGTTTCTCAAGTAGACCGAAATCAGCGATCTGAACAACAAAATAAAAATTCACTTCCGAGATATTCTCGCGACGAAACAGTACCGTGTGGTATCAGACTCGTGCAAAAGACCCCCTATTGTTCCGTTAACTATCGCCTGGAGCAATTTCCGTGAAAAAAAAAAAAAAAAAAAGAAGAAACGCAAATGTATAAATTGCGCGCGCGCGGCCTTTCTCTCGAAATCACTCGATTCACTTACAAAACGCGCGCGTCGCCGGAAATCCCGCCGGCGGGTCACCGAAAGGAGATTGCTTTGTCGTAGTTCGATTCGCACGAGCGTCTGGATGAAACTAGGCCGCCGGCGGGGGAAAGCCGACGCAAATCCGGAAAAATTGCCTGCACTCGGTGTTCATCCGGCGACCCCGCGGCCGCGAATGGCCTGCCCTCGGCTGCGCGCCATATTTCCAGGTGGCAAATGAAGCGGACGTAATCTCGGAAAATTATCTTACGCCCGCTGGCCGATCATTAATCACCTTTCCTGCCGACTTGTCCCGATCACCGATCCACCTCCGAACGATTCGATTGGTTTGCTCTTCGGCATCATCATTTCGCCTCGCTGCGATGGAGAGAATAAAAGGGAAAGGTCTCGCGGATGAGCGAAGAGCTCGAGAATCTCGCGTGTACGTCGGACTGCTTCGTCCTTGTAGGATTATAAAATGTTTCCACAAATGTGCGTGTTTAAAGAAATTTTAAGAGAAAAAAATAATTCGATTGACGACAAAAAATTGCCCGCTTACTCCTCGAACGAATAAATCTGCTCCGGTCCTGATCGCGGAGAATCGAAGCCGCTTCGCTCGACGGTATCTCAATCATCGTATTATCGTTTCGCTCCTCGAAACACGCGGGAAGATCGCTCGACGCTCGAGGGCGGTAGTGCGAATCGCCGGAAGTAAATGCGATACTCCGCATGAGCGGAATTAGCAGCGTGCGAAATCGGCTATATATTCGCAATCGCGTGATGCGCGTAATTTAACGAAGTCGCACGGCGAGACAAGCGTCGCACAGCCCGAGGACACGTTTGAAACGAGTTGATTGTTCCCAAAGATCCGCAGACGTACAGCGCAGCGGAGGCGACGCTGGTCTCCTCCCGGGGAGCAACAAAGTTACATACAAGATAAACCGAAACTTTCTCTCAGATTATTCTTTCTTCACTTTTCTTTAACGCTCATGACTCATGAAAGGTCTTTCTGAGTTTAACTCGAATGCAACACGTTTCTAACGAGCGCAGGTTCGCGCAGAAAGACGGACAAATGACCGGCATATACGTCGCGTCCATGATGACCTCGTTTACGTACGAAACGTACGGAACAAGCGAAAATCTCGCGAACACGGGCCGTAATTACAAGTTCCACAACTACTTCCGGTGGTTCGCGCTGTGGCTGCCCCTTAAAGATCGTGATTGATGGCTCACCGTTGCTTCGACCGTGGTCGGCCGTGGTTCGTTCATCGGGTTCAGCGAGCAGGCAGGTTGTGGAGGAGGACGGCGGTGAGTATCGTTTTTTTTTCGCTTTTCTTTTTCTTTTCTTTTCATTTTTTTTTTTTTATAGGTGAATGGTGGTGTGGTAATGCGTGGCGGCGCATCGCGCACACGGACGATCGTGATCGGTTTTCTCGTGATCGTCGTAAACGGTTCAAGCGGTCTCCGATACCGGGAGCGGTGGCTGCCCACCGGAAGTAGTCATGGCGGGCGCGGTGTTGGCGGTGTTGGTGGGGACCGGAAGTGGCTGTAGGACCTGCATGTCGCAGGTGTGGGAACCGCGCTTCTTTAGGTCCTGGAACAAGTGGCATTTCGGACATGTTTGAATTTTTCACCCTCTATCGCCCGCCCACCTCGTCTCGCTACTCCTCACCGCCATTTAACTCTTTCACTCACTTCCGCTCTCTCACCCTCTTTCTCTCCCTCTCTCTCTCTCTCTCTCTCTCGCTCTCTCTTTCTCTCTTCCTCTTTCATTCTCTCGTTCTCTCTCACTTTCCTCCCCTCTCTCTCTCTCTCTCTCTCTCTCTCTCTCTCGTTCTCCCAGATTTTCTTTCATTTCCTTTCTCTCTCTCTCTCTCTCTCTCTCTCTCTCTCTCTCTCTCTCTCTCTCTCTCTCTCTCTCTCTCTCTCTCCCCCTCTCTCTCTCTCCCCCCCTTTCTTTCCACCTCTCTCTCTCCCTCTCTCTCTCTCTCTCTCTTGCTCTTTCATTCTCTCGTTCTCTCTCTCTCTCTCTCTCTCTCTCTTGCTCTTTCATTCTCTCGTTCTCTCTCTCTCTCTCTCTTGCTCTTTCATTCTCTCGTTCTCTCTCTCTCTCTCTCTCTCTCTCTCTCTCTCTCTCTCTCTCTCTCTCTCTCTCTCTCTCTCTCTCTCTCTCTCTCTCTCTTTCTCTCTCTCTCTCTCTCTCTCTCTCTCTCTCTCTCTCTCTCTCTTTCTCTCTCTCTCTCTCTCTCTCTCTCTCTCTCAATCGTTCTCTAACTTCTAGATCCAAACTAAGCAATTACACTACATTTAACCTCCGCTCCCCCTCCCCTCTCTCCCACACCGGTCTCTTCACTCTTCGCTCTCCTCGGGAGAGAAAAGCGATCGTCGATTCCACGGCCGAGAGATATCGATCGATGTAGAACCTCGCATTTCGATTTCGCGAGTCAAAAGGGTCTCTGGCGATCCGCGGATCGCGATGCAATCGGATTGACTGCGACCTTCCGAGCGATCCCTCGCAGCGACGCGTGCAAATCTTCCGAGAACGAGGCAGTCGGGACGAAAATCTCGGGGGCGACTTCCACCGCCGAAGAGCGAAGAGAGATCGAGAGACGATGTGGGGCAGGGGCGGGGGGTGCAGGAGGCGAGGCGAGAGACGAAGAGAAAGTATGGTTACGCGTGCACAGAGAGAAAGAGACGCATGCGACAAACGGAGACAAACAACAGAGAGACACAACGAGAAACGGAAACAATCGAGAGGGAACAATCGAGGTGCGAAGCAAACAACAACACAACAAAGGAGAGTAACAACAATGACAACAGCAATGTAACAACCATGACAGTAATAACAAGAACAATACATTCCAATAGAGACGCAGAGAATACGCGCAGGTGGAAAGGAGGTAAACAGTGCAGGGCCGAACCAAGACGCTTTCGTCGGTGTCAAAATAGAGCGCGCTCGGCTCGGTGTATGCGCTCTCGCATTACGCAAATTAACGCAAATGTACGCGGTTTGCTCCTGCACGAGCGAGACCGCCGCGTTTTGCTCGACGGAAAACACAACGTAGATCTCAGCATTCGCGTTCGACGGAGATGGCGAAGATCGACACGTGCTCTCGCCTCGGAAACTTTCGGAAAGTAGTTTTGCATTTCTCGGCGAAAGAGCGAAGGCGCAACGCCGCAGGACGCATCGACGGAAATCTCGCAAGTGTGTGAGAATCGAAATCGTTCACTTTCTCATACCGCACCAGTCCCAATCATTCGACAATTCCATTCCCCGACGAAGATTTCAGTGTAACAGGAAACGTGCGACGGCGATTTGAAATCAAAATATATATGAAAGGACTCGTGAACGTGAATTCGTGAATGGAGATAAGACATGCGATGAATTTCTGCTCGAGATGCAAAATCGTGTGATCTCCACGTAATTATACTTAATTAATAAAACTTTCCCCTGAAATATAAATCATCACACCCACGATTTCCTCCATCTAGCTGACGTACGTCGAATCGTGTAAAGCCAAATTCGTGATCTGTAATCAATCAAGCGGAACACAACCGCAGCGTGTAGATTCTTCGCAGTCGCTTCGCGAAGATAACCAGCCGGAG